TGTGTGTGTGTGTGTGTGTGTGTGTGTGTGTGTGTGTGTGTGCGTGTGTGTGTGCGTGTATTTGTGTTATAGCCTGAATGAGAGTGTGTATACGCATGCGTGCGTGAATGGGTCAGACTCTGTGCTCGTGTATTTGTGTTCTTGCGTGGATGTGGGCCTATGTACGTGCATGAATTGGTACGTGCGCGTGCGTGCATAGGCCTATGTACGTGCGTATGAGTGTGTGTACCCGATGTACTCTGGCTTCTGTCAAAAGACACGCCCGCTGAAGTAATTACAGTATCTAGTTCTGTAGGCGTGTAAGAAATCTGATGACACAGGATAATTGGTATGAACAGGAAACCGTCGGTTTAATTTTGCGTGTAAAGTAGCAATAACAAGATTGCTACTAGATGTAACCAACAAGGTGTTTTTAATTAACATATTCTGTATGGGTCACGGTGTAGTCGTATATAGAGAAGCTGATATATTTTCACCTCGATATTAGACTGGCCCCATGCGTCGTTGTTGGCATCAACTCATTGAGCAGTTCCACATATTAAGGACATTAAATTAGAGGGGGGCAGTTCCTAAATTTCAGACAAGATGAATTCTTAGCGATTTTTTATTCTTATATTTAAATTATATAAACAGGGCCGTAGTGGCCGCCACGGCAGCACGGCACTGCCGTGGCACTATTTTGGCAAAATTTTGCAGGGAACCAAGGAGCAACATATACCAAGGAGATGAAACCCCGGGGGCGGGGAGGGGGGCACTCACCCCACATTATGGTAGGTATGTGCCACTGCGAAGTCAAAGATGGAGGGGCTCTGGAACTAACTGAGACCTGAAAATGGGGTCTCTGAAACTAATGTTTGTGGAATGTGGTATGCTCTGGAACTGGCTATGTTCGAAAATGTGGGTGGCTGGAACTAGGATTTCGTTGAAATTCAATGCTATGACACTGGACACGTTTAAAAGAAGGGGTCTCCGGAACTGTGGGGGAACAGTGATTTGCTTTAAAATCTATGCTGTAGCACTTGAACCAATAATTGTTGTATTATGTAGAGGAGAAAAAACACACACGCACACACACACACACACACACACACACACACACACACACACACACACACACACAC